TGAGAGAAGCCAGCCGGCTGCCCTGGGAAAGGAAGTCAGGAGGTGGCATCTCCCTCCACAGCTGAGTTGTTCAGGCTCCCAAGCCACGTCAGCTGCGATCGCTGGTCTCTCTCTCTCCCCCACGCCCCCTGGCCTCCCTGCGACCACCATCTGAGGCCTGAGCCCCTTCTCTCACTTCCTGTCCTCCCAGTGCCCTGTGGCAGCCCAGCCACCCAGCAGTCAGTGTGCCTTTAAAGGGATTATTTCCTTCTCCTCTACTCACACCCCCCTGATGGCCTCTGACCCGGGCCACCCAGAGACCTGTCTGAGGCTTAGACAGCTCTGCACCACCAGGCTCTAACCTGGCCTCCTCCCTAACTTCTCAGCCCCTCACGCCCCACCCCCCACCCGAGACCCAGCCGCAAGGGCCTTCTGGCTGATTCTGACCAAGCCAAGCCCCGCTTCCACCACAAGGCCTTTCATTGGCTCTTCTCTCTGGAAGGCTCTTCCCTGAGATTTGCATGGCCCCTCCCTCACTTCCCTCTGCTCAAAATGTCAACTCCTCAGAGATTTTGGTGGGAGGTCAGGGGTTGAGAGAGCTACACCTGGTCTGTAGCCCTTTATCCTCCTTCACTCTTCTTTGTGCTCAGCACAGCCCAACATTCTATCACCTATTCGACTAGTGAGTGCATGTCTCCCGGGCTCCAATGCTGAGCTCCCGGCAGGCAGGAATCTCCTCTGTGTGTCCATGTGGGGCTGGGGATTTGGGGGGCTGGCTGTCACTGTGACTTGGGGAGGGGGAGGTTGCCACTGGCATTGAGAGGATGGGGGCCAGGGACTCCAGACAACCCTACAAGAAAGGCAGATTCTACCTCCTGCACAACATGGGTGAAGACTTGTTTATAATCTCCAGAGCCAAGAATCTAACTCCTCTTTACACATAAACACACAAAGGCCTCGTGTGTACATAGCGTACACTGAGTTCTCGAGGAATGCAACTACTGGACAGAGTGGAAGAAGTCTGTACTTCTTGTTGTTCAGAATTTTACCAAGAATTCTTCACCGTTCCGACACTACCACCTCCACAGCAGCCCAGTGGGAGTGACTCTACACTCAGAGCTGCCGCCTTCGCAGATACGTATTGTTATCCTGTATTTCTTTTGTATCATGACATGCATGCGTGTGCATTTTAAAATTAGATGTGGATTCCGAAACCAGTTTGGCTCAGTGGATAGAGTTTTAGCCTATGGACTGAAAAGTCCCAGGTTCAATTCCAGCCAAGGGCATGTACCTTGGTTGCGGGCACATTCCAAGTGGGGGGGGTGCAGGAGGCAGCTGGTCGATGTTTCTCTCTCATCGATATTTCTAACTTCCTATCCCTCTCCCTTCCTCTCTGTGAAAAATAAATAAGGTATATTTTTTTAAAATAAATAAATTAGATGTAGAGGTGGGTATATCAGTCATACGTTTCATTCAGGAGCATAAAAGGGGCAGCACAAAGGATCATGACAAGGCAGCACTGGGGCTGACAGGGGAGAACCGTGACCTGTGAAGATGGTTGGGAACAGGGCTCTGAGGTTCGAAGTAAGGCCCCCCACCTCTGACACCCATGTGACTGCACAAATAAGACTCAACCTCTCTGAACCCCACTATCCTCGTCTGTAAAATGGAGTCACCCTACAAACTACCTGGTTCCTGGGAGGTTGTGAGGGGTTGGCAGCGCAGCCGTTAGCAGAGTGTCAGGTGCCGAGAGTGTCCTCAGTAGCCATTACTATTCTTCATTCTGTAAACTCTCAGACTGCCCTCCTCCCAGCAGCTGTCCTGGGTGCTGGGGCAGCAGTTAGAGGTCAGGCTGGGTGTAGGAGCCCTTGAATGAGTCCCTTTCTCTCTCCATCGAAGACCTAGGCAGCCTCTGACCCCTCCCCCCTACCCCCAGTGGGGTGAGGCCCCAGTGTCAAGAGCAGAGCAGCGGGGCCAGCCCCAGGTTGGCTGCTGGGGAGGGGAGCAGTCGGCTTGGCATTAGGCCCTGAATATGCCAGTCCCCGTAGGCCCCACCCAGAGACTCCGGCTCTCTCAACCCCTGACCTCCCACCAAGAACTGTCTTTCCCATGGTTCATCTGAGGATCACTCTGTGCCTCCCAAGGTGACAGATCTCTATCTCACACCAACAGGGGGGCAGAGAGGCGGCCAGCATGTGGGCAGCAGCAGGTCAGCCACAGGCCAGCAGACAGGACAATCAGCAGGCAGATAGAGGGGATGCGAGCCAGGCAGGCAAGGACAGACACGCAGAGATCAGAGAGGTCCCGGTCAGTCCCGGGAAAGCAGGTGGCTGAGCAGACAGGCCGGCGGGCAGGGAGAGGCAGGCAGAAAAGCAGATAGGCAGGTGGCCAGGAGGACACGTGGGCTGTGTAGATCGCCACACAGGCCAGAACCTGTGGGCATCTCCCCCTGGGTCCCAGGAGCAGCCCACAGCTTCTTCCAACCCTCCAGGGCAAGGCGGTCACTCCTCCCCCGGCCTGGCTTGGTCACATGCATCCCCTGCCATGTGTCACTTCCTGAAGGGACTGGCCACCATCTCAGCCCCCCTCTGCTCCAGCGTGGCCACACGCCTCACCCGGACTGAGTGAGACCACGCCAAACACAGGCCACCACCAAACAGACACAGCTTTGTCTGTGGACAGTGATTCCTAGGGATCTGCATAGCACAGGGATACATGGAAACAGCTTAGCACAAACATACCCAAATCTCACAGCTGCCCCTCACAGAGGGGCGCAGACACACATGGAGACAGGCACATGTATGTGCCACGCAAAGGCACATCCTCCCCCTCCCCCCAACACCCAGGCACGGCCAAAACACATTAATCTTCGCATGGATGGTAGGCACTCAGTGCATTGGTACAACCATGGACACCCACCAATATCCCCGCCAGGGGCCAGATCCTGGCCTCGCCTTCGCCTCGCGGCCCAGGTTGACGTGGTTGATGGCGTACTGGTCCTGGTCAGGTCTTCCTCCCCCGTCACTCGTCTCTCCTGCCTGACACCTCCTCCCCAGGACCCCTCAAGGCTGGAGCTTCCAGGGTTCGGGCTGCAGACCCTTTTTCTTCTCACCCCCTCAACGGTGTTCAGTCCATCTTGGGTGCCAAGCTCGCAAGCACATTTCCAGCCCAGACATAGGGCTTCACCTCCCTGCCTCCCCCGGCATCTACTGGGCACGTCAAATCTATCTGAAAAGAAACTCAGATGGCCCCAAACTTGCCCGCCTAGACTCCCCTCAGGTGTGTGGGCCCAGTACCAAGCAGCTGTCCTGTATTTCTCTCGCCTTGGCGTCCACATCCCAGGCAGGACGTCCTGTGGACACTCCCTTCAAAACGCCGCCTGAATGGATCCTGTCTCCCTCCTCCCCAGCCCAGCCCGGTCCAAGCCCGCACCCACGCTGAGCCCCCACAGGGATCTCTCCAACGCGTGTCACCAAAGTCTCCTGACTCCAGGGGCTCCATGACACGCACACCTAGCTCCTCCACTGGGTGCAGGGACCCTAAGACGGCCCTCGCCCTCCTTCCTGCCCCACACTCCGCCCAGATCCTGCATGGCTGCCCCCGCAGGATATAGCTCTCACCTCAGATGCCGCCTGGAGAGCCGCCCAGGAGTTCCCCATCACATGGCCCTGTGCCAGCCTCCTCCGAGCACTCGGCCGCTCTCCTTCACGTTCGTCTGTCTGTCCGCCTCAGGGTCAGCTCCATGAGACAAAGATTCGTGTCTGTCTGTCCACCGCTGACCCCCCCATTGCTAGGAGATGCTAACAGGGCGCTCAGTTGGCCTCTGTTGACTAGAGGCTGTACGGGTTTCTACACAGACATGCCCACCCCCACAAAAACGCTCACGCAGACACATTGAAAATAGATGCCCCAATATACACATACGGGCAGAAATAGTGCCGCATGCTCACAAAACAGACTACACGGTCAGAGACGCCCAGGGGTCCCTCTCCCACCCCCGGGGGAGCCAGTCCTAGTCCTTTCTCCACTTGATCTGCCCTCTGCATGAACCCAGGCTCAGGACTTGGAGTGGGGGGTCTTCAGCCTGGAGGGAGAGAGGGGGGTCACTGGCCCACAGGCCTCAGGCAGCGCCTTCAGCTATGTCTGCAATTTCCTCTCCCCCCTTCCTTCCCTCCTCCTCTCTGAGGCTCCCGCCAAGAAGGCCTCCCCCTCACCCCAGCCCCAGCACAGGAAGGGGGGCCCCCGGAGGGGGGGCTGGGAGTCTGGGCAGGAAGAAGACCTGGGCCCACACACTGATCACACCACACACTGCATGCACAGGCCCTGAGCTCGTGTGGAAACGCATGTGCACAGGCAGGCGTTGCCAGAAGGAAAAGGCATTTTCGCCACACACTCCGGTGCGGGCCATGGGGCCCTCGGAGGCCCCAGGCTGGGTTCTGCAAGGCTGGCCTTGCAGCCTGGCTCGCAGCCTGAGTCCAGCACTCATTAACCCTGCTGACCGCGCTCAGCCAGCCGGACACCCTCACCGCTGGGCCCTGGGAAAGGGGGAAGGGAGTCCCTTCCCTCGGCGTGGCTTGAGGGTCTGGGGGAGCTGACAAAGCAGGCGGTCCTGCCTGGGAGAGGCAACCTCCTGGGAGGAAGAGCTGGGCAGAGGGACAGGGTCAGGAGCCAGGCTCTAGGTCAGAGAACAGCGGGTTCAAATCCTGCCAGTTCGGTAGTTTTTCAATCCGTGACTCAGTTTACTTATCTGCCAAGTGGGGGTGACACGCAATACAGGATTATTAAGGATTAAATAACTTTGAAAAGGTTTTATTTAGCTCATTGCCTGGCACCTAGTCAGAACTCCATCCTCCTCGATATTATTATTGTTGTTATTAGTAGCCTGGGGGCGGGCCCCTGGACCCCGCCTCCCCTGCGGTTTCCTGCGGGGGTGGGGGGACCAGGCGCCCCGCCGGCCTCGCTCCCCCTCCTCTCCCCTTCCTCTGCCGGCCGTTCCCTCCCCGCCTCCCCCGCCGCCCCGCCCCGTCCCTCCTCTTTCCTCGGAGGAAACTCTCCGCGGCTGGTCCATCGCCGTGTCCGGCCCGCGCTGCGCGGCCTGGGAGCCCGCGGACCGGACCGGACGGGGCGGGAGCGCCGGGCCGGTGTGGGCGCCGCGGGCGCGGGGCCGGGCGCGGAGGGAGAGACGGCGCTCAGGGCCGGTGAGTGAGCCGGACGGCGGCCCCGGGGCGGGCGGGCGGGATGGGGAGGGAGTCGGCCTCCCCTCCGGGAACTCGCCCTGGGAGGCGGAAGGCACCGCGCTCCTCCTCCATCTCGCTCTCGGGACAGCGAACCCGGGCCTCTTTTGGGGGTTGGGAGGGGGTGAGGGGGGGGCCTCCGGCGGCCCACTCCCGGACCCCGGGTTGGCGGGGTGTCGGGGCGCGGGGAGTGGGGGGAGGATCCCCGGACCCGGCCCAAGTCTTCGAGGAAGTCGGGACGCCGCGCTCTCCGGGGTGGAACCCAGGGCCGCTCCTCCCGGGAGAGGACAGAGCGGGGTCAGGGGCGGCTGGCGAGCAGGATCTGATCAAACTCACTCGCAGGCTGGCAGGGGAGCAGCCCCCGGAGCAGCATGGATGCCCCCCGAAGAGACATGGAATTGCTCAGCAATAGCCTGGCGGCCTACGCTCACATCCGCGGTGAGGGCGCACCTCTCCCTGCCCCTGAGGCCCCACTGCACCCCTTCCCCCCTTTCCTCATACTCACCCCGCCCCCCCATAGCTAGCCCGTTACCACCAATTACCCACCTCGCTGTCCCATTGCCCGATGGCCTAATGTCCTTCCAACAGGAGGCACTGTCTTCGCCCCCAAACTTTAAACCCGGAGCCTTTTCCAGATGGAGTGACTCCCATCCGCGGGGCCCCTCCGTGACTTCTGCCCTCTGCCTCCAGCCAACCCGGAGAGCTTCGGCCTCTACTTCGTGCTGGGCGTCTGCTTCGGGCTGCTGCTCACGCTGTGCCTGCTGGTCCTCACCATCTCCTGCGCGCCCCGCCCGCGGCCAAGGCCCCCCGCGCGGCGCCGGGACCCGCGGGGCGCCCCGGAGGAGGACGACGACGAGGAGGACGAGGAGGAGGACACGGTGACGCGGCTGGGCCCCGACGACACCCTGCCCGGCCCGGAGCTGTGCGCCGAGCCCGACGGCACCGTGAACGTGAACGTGTTCACGTCGGCGGAGGAGCTGGAGCGCGCGCAGCGGCTGGAGGAGCGGGAGCGCATCCTGCGGGAGATCTGGCGCACCGGGCAGCCCGACCTGCTGGGCGCCGGCACGCTGGGGCCCGGGCCCGCGGCCACGGGCACGCTGGGCCGCGTGCACTACTACTGAGCCGCCCGGCCCGGCCACGGGCGCTCTGGTGCTGGATGTGCACCCGGGCTCACGGCGGACCGGGACCTCCGGCAGCGCTGCCCGCCCGCCCCCCGGCTCCCACGGTGCTACTGGGCGTGAACCCCCACCTCCGGGAGGCGCCCTTCCCCGTCCTGCCTGGAGACCCTGGGGGGAGGGCAGGACACAGGGTCCCCACCCTCGCTCTAGGGGACGGTAGAGCGGTGAAGTGACCAATGAAAGCTGCATCTGTTACTCCAGAGTCTCCCTCTGTTACTCCAGCGTCTCCCTCTGTTACTCCAGCGGCCCATCCTGCAGAGGGCCCCAGGGCTGAGGGCCGTCCCCGCCACTCCGTCCTCAGCACACTTGACTGACGGCAAAAACACTCTCTACCACGGCACCAGGCTCACCCAGAACAAGCATCACTCGACTTCCTTACTCACAAACGCACGCCTTACGCGCATGCTCCCGGGCACACGTCACCCCTGTCCCTCCACAAGCCCAGGCTCCACGCATCGCTGCGGCCACACAAACACCAGGCCCGGGCGCCCGGCTGTGACGCGAAGGTGCCCCCGTGCAGCCACGCGTGCCCGCGCTGGGCCGTGGAGTCCGTGTGGGAGCGGAGGGAGGTGTGTGTCTGTGACTCCTTCGGGACGGCCAGCGGGGAGGAGTCTGGGGTTGGAGAGCAGGGCTGCTGGCGCACAGCTGGATTCCGGAATCCGGCCGCAGGCAAAGCCTGACCCCGCCGGGCCTGGGCCCCTCCTGTTCGCTGGCGTCCGAAGGAGACGCCCCTCCAACCGCGCCCCCCCCCGCCCCCCGCCCGCCATCCGGTGGGTAAAAATAGCCGCGCACAAGCCTTGGGAACAGTAATGAGAGCCACATGTTGGCCAGATGTGCCAGGAAGAGACGGGCCCGGAATGCGGAGCGCCGGCCCCGCCGCGAGGGCCCGCCCCCCAAGGACCAGGCAGGCGGGGAGCGAACACAGCAAAGTTTACTTTCTCTCTAGGCTTTCCCAAAGTGGTGTGCCAGGACGTGGGTGCCCGGAGGCCGCCTTCCCTCCAGGCTCCACCTTACTGCGACTGCGAGGGGCTGGGGCTCGGGGTCAGGAATTCCGCGGCGGTCCTCTGGTTCACCTGAACCTGGTGGGGAGAACCTGGCGTCAGGGAGGGCCCGCCCCAGCCCCCTTCCTGCCGGGATCCGGGGGTTCGCACAGCACCCACCTCCAGCACCCGGCGCCTCTCCCTCTCGCTCTTCAGTTCCTCCCAGAGGTCCAGGAGCTTACTTCTGCAGAACAGAGAAGGAGGGGAAGGAGTGGGCCCGCCCTGCCCTTCTCCTTCCCACCCTCCGAATCCTCCCCCGACTTACTCCAGATGCTCCCCTATCCGCTCCAGGTCCTTCCTCAGGGACTCCACCTCCTCCTGTAGCCTCGTCACCTCCTCGTGTAGCCTCGTCATCTCCTCCTTGTCAGTTTTGCTGAGCCTGGGACTTAGTGAGAGCCGGGAAGGAAGGGTGGGAGTGCCTTGAGGGGCTGGAGCCGGCTTGGTGGGATGTGGATGCTTTTGAGCAGAGGCTACCTTTTTGGGGGAGGCCTCCTCTTTGGGGGTCGTTTCCTCCTTCGAAGGAATCTTCTCCTGGAGGGTGTGGGGCTCTTCCAAGGGTTGGGCCGGATTCTCGAGGGGCCCTGACCTAGCCTCCAACGGGAGCGCAGAGCTGTCCTTCTTATCGAGGAGGGATACCTCTGACTTATGGGCCACACACTTGGTCTTGGACTTGGACTTGGACGGGGCTGCTTCCGGAAAGGGACGGATCTGAGTGTTGTCCCCAGAAGAGGTCTCTTCAGAGAGCATCTGCTCAAAGGTCAAGGCCTTTTCCACGGACGAAGCCTCGTCTCCAGAAGAAACGAGCTTTGAGGAAAGGGCTTCGTCTTCAGGTAAGACAACTAGAGCAGGGACCTCGTACGCAGGAAAGTCCCCTTCTGGGCTGGGGGCCTTGCGTGCAGGCGGGGTCTTCTTTGGGGCGAGTGTCTTGCCCGGTGTAGCCGTTTTGTTCCCAGGGGGGGCCTTTGCTCGGCTTTTCCGCTCTTCCTCCTGTGGGGATGGGGATCAGGTCTCGGCTGAGGGCTCTCCTCGGCCTGGGATCCTTCACCTGCACATGCCGTGCCCCTGGGAAGCAGACTGCTCAGCCTCCCGCTCTGCCATGTTGCGGGCCTCTCACCTGAGTGTTTGCAGGTCGCTGCCGGGAAGCCTGGGTTCTGGATCGCTTTCTGCCAATTTGGGATGGAACCCCACCCAAGTGGCTGCTACTGGTGGCTATGAGAGCAGAATGTCAGGGGTCCGGGCGTAGTAGGATGCCAAGTCTCTTCCCATCGTCACCCAGTCCTCACCCAACTGAGAGAGGCAGCCAGACTTACCCAAGTCTCGGGTGGGGCGCTTCTGACCATCTCCACCAGGGGGCCTGCAACATATCCCCATCAGGCCCAGGGGTGCCACAGGCACAGCACTTCCTCTGCACCCTCATCCTTCCCCCAACCCCTCCCTGCTCCTTACCTGGCTTTGCTGGGCCCAGGCAGCTTCTTGACTGCAGGGAGGGCTGTTCTGGGCATCATCTTTCTTGATTCCTTAATAAGAGCTGGGAGGGAAGAGGTGAGTGCAGTATTTGTTCTCACTTACCCACCCGCCTCGGCCCTGCCCTGTGATGTGCACAGGGGTCAGGGACAGGTGGTGAGTCATGTGACTCTGCCTCTTGGGAGCTCTGGGGAAGCTGACCACCTTCATGCCACAGGAGCATAGGGAACTGGGGGACCACCCTAAAGGCTTCGTGGGGGAGATGGCTCCAAATACTAGCAGTTTTTCAATCCATGCTTTTCTAAGCCCTGTCCCTGCTTAGTGTCATGACTGGTTCAGACTTCATTTCTGTCCTGGACCATGGCAAGACCTTCTAGTTCACCCTCCCTTCATCTTCTTCGTCTTTCCATCTCATTTACTCCCTAAGAAATCCCACCCAGCCCTAGCTGGTTTGGCTCGGTGGATAGCGTCCGCATGCGGACGTAAGGGTCCCGGGTTCAATTCCGGTCAGGGGCACATGCCCCGGATGCAGGCTCAGTCCCCGGTGGGGGATGTGCAAGAGGCAGCCAATGAATTATTCTCTCTCATCATTGATGTTTCTATCTCTCTCCCTCTTCCTTCCTCTCTGAAATCAATAAGAATATATATTAAAAAAGAAAAAAGAAATCCCATCCAGTCTCACGGGCTTAATTATCAGCAATAACCCAAGGACTCCAACATTTCCATTTCTAGTTCCTTCCTCTTCCCGGAACTCCACACTCAGATCTGACTGTCCTCCCGTGATTTGCACTTGGGAGAGCTAACTGGCCTCACACACTTAACATGTTCAAAACCTATCTCTTGCTCCCCAAACTCCTGGTTCCCTGAATCTGCCCCTTTCCCAGTGTTCCCCATCTCACCCAATCGCCCACTGCTCATACGACCAAGTGAGGAGTGACCCTTGACCTCTTCTATACCTTTATGCTGCACACATCCAGCTCTTCAGTAAGTCCTGTCTGCTCTGTCTTTAAAGCATGTCCCCCCCCCACCTCTTTTCACTCCTAATCAAGTCACCACCATCTTCACCTGGACTAGCCCAACGGCCTCCACCCTGGGCTTTGGCTGTACTCACCCTGCCTCTGGCTTATTCTTTCCGCAGCAGCTTGAGTGAGCTCATGTTCTAGTGGGGAAGCAGGCACAAACAGAGAAGGGAAACACGCAGCGTGTTAGAGAGCAGGACACGTTGTTGACGAAGGATAAGAATCACTTTAAACGGGGTGGTCAGAAAAGGCCACACGGAGGCGACATCGGCGTGAACACCGGGAGGCCGTCACACACATGGACAGTCACACCCATAGGCACGCACGCAGCCACCTGAAACGTTACCCACGCACACGTCATCACACAGACACACGCACAAATCCCCGGACAATGGGCAAGAGCATGGGTTCTATAACCGGACACCAGGCTTTGAATTCTTGCTCCATGTCTTGCCAGTTAGGAGAAAACCTGGGTAGGTAAGTTAACCTGCGGCCCAGTGTCCTCATCCATAAAACACGGATGAGCACAGGACACATCTTGTAGGGTTATTGTGAAGTCTGAGGGACTTAATCCATATGAAGTACTGTGGATTAGTAGAAGAGTGTTTGGCATAGAGTCAAAGCTCATAAAAACGTGTTGTTTTTTAGCCCTCGCTGGTTTGGCTCAGTGGATAGAGCGTTGGCCTGCGGACTGAAGGGTTTGATTCTGATCAAAGGCACATGCCTGGGTTGCAGGCTTGATCCCCAGTAGGGGGCATGCAGGAGGCAGCCAATTGATGATTCTCTCTCATCCTTCATGGTTGTTTCTCTCCCCCCCCCCCCCCTTCCTCTCTGAAATCAATAAAAATATATTAAAATATATATATTAAAAATGTGGATGTTTTTTTAATCAGGGTGACATTGGTTAATAAAATTATATAGGTTTCAGGTGTCCAATGCTATAATACATCATCTGTATATCACCCGGTGTGCTCACCATCCCAAGTCAAGTCTCCTTCCATTAAAATGGTAACTTTGAAAAATAAATAAATAATAAAATAAAGTAAAATGGAAACTTTGACTTCTGCTTCCTGTAGAATGACTAATGAGGTGCCTTGTGGGGCTTCTCCACTAGATATAATTGCTATTATACCCTGCTTAGGATACAATTTGGGGACACTGTTGGACTTAAAAGAGGTAGGAGAGGTGCAGAGAAAGGGAGAAACGGGGGCCAGACATAGAAGGCAGTCCTCGCTGAAAGAAGTCTTTCCAGCCACGGCGTGCAAGACGCCCACAGACTGAGAGCAAGTCACGTGCCCCACACAACCATCATAACATAAAGACAGGCCAGTGAGAGCAGAGTGGGCAGACACAGCACACAACACACCTGGAATTGTCAGGTGGAAAATACAGCACAACCCTCTGTAACATATTGAAAGAAATACAGGATGAGCCTGCAACAAATGAGCCATCAGGAGTAAGCAGGCAGATATAAGGAAAGGGGAACAAAAGAAAGTAGAAAGCTAAACTACCAGAGGTGAAAACAGCACTCCGAAATAAAATACAATGTATAAATTAAACAGCAGATCAAACATAACCAAAAAGCTAGAGAGAGAATTACTAAACTAGGAGTACAGTGAGACAAGAAGTGAAAAACTTGAAAGCAATGTTTAAAAAAATGGGGAGTAGAAACAGGGATTGACTATGGCTGTTAGTGGACAAATCTGCACCCACACAGCTATAAAACTGGACAAAAATGACAAAGCAACCATTTCAGTGCTCTGGAAACTGACCGAAGGCTGAAATAATCTGAGAAGCATTCATGCTTGGTGGGTTCTTGCTCACTCCTCCCCTCCGCCACACTCCTCCCCGTCCCCCAGCCCACACTGACTTTTGAGTGCGGGGCAGGTTGAGGATCGGAAAGTTCACTGTCATGGATGAAGGGAACTCAATCAATTTGAGGTGTAACATTGGACTTGGCATGGTTTCATAGATATGATACCAAAACCACAAGCAACCAAAGAAAAAAATAGATAAATGGGACTTCATCAAAATTAAAAATTTTTGTGCATTAAAGGATGCTATCGAAAAAGTAAAAAGTTACCCTGGCCGGTGGCTCAGTTGATTGGAACATCATCCCATGTACCAAAGGTTGCAGATTTGATTCCTGGTCAGGGCACATACTTAGGTTGCAGGGTCCATCACTGGTCAGAGCGCATACAGGAGGCAATAGATCAATATTAATGTTTCTCTTTCTCTCTCTCTCTCTCTCTCTCTCTCAAGTCAATTAAAATATAAGTAAATAAAAATGCTAAAGGGACTGCTGTAATGAGAAGAAGAAATAGAGAGAGAAACCTAGGCATACAGAATTAAAATAAGTACCTATCAATAATAACTCTAAAAAAAATAATAACTCTAAATGTAAATGCATTAAATGTCCCAATCAAAAAGCATAGGGTAGCTAAATGGATACGAAAATATGACCCAACAATATGCTGTCTACAAGAGACCCACTTCAGAAGACACACACAGGATAAGAATGAAGGGATGGAAAAAATGTTTCATGCAAACGAAAAAGAAAAAAAAAGCTGGAGTAGCAATACTCATATCTGACAAAATAATTTCAAAATGAAGGCCATTATAAGAGATAACAAAGGTCACTACATAATATTAAAGGGATCGATCCAACAAGAGGATATAACCCTGGTAAACATATATGTACCCAATATAGGAACACCTAAATATATTTTTTTTTTTAACTTAGAGATCAACAACAATACAGTCACAGTAGGGGAGTTGAACACCCCACTGACTTCACTGGACAGATCCTCCAGACAAAACCTTAACAAGGAAACAGTGACTCTAAAGGACACACTGGACCAAATGGGTTTAACTGACCTTTATAGGACATTTCACCCCAAAGCTGCAGAATATACATTCTTCTCAAGTGCACATGGATCATTCACAAAGATAGACCACATATTAGGACACAAAACAAGTCTTACAAGTTCAAGAAGATTGAAAGCATATCAAGCATCTTCTCAGATAACAGTGGAATGAAATTAGATACCAACTATACTTGTCCTAGCTGGTTTGTCTTAGTGGATAGAGCAGCAGCATATGAACCTAAGGGACCTGGGTTTGATTGAGGTCAAGGCACATACCTTGGTTGCAGGCTCCTCCCCAGTCCAGGGTCTGGTCAGGACTTGTGCAAGAGGCAACCAATCGATGTGTTTCTCTCACATCAATGTTTCTCTCTATCTTTCCCTCTCTCTTCCACTCTCCCTAAAAAATCAATTGGGAGGTGGGGGTGAATATCCTTGGGTGAGGATTAACAACAACAACAAAAAAGAAATCAGCTACAATAAAAACATCCAAAAACATTCAAACACATGGAGGTTAAATTGCATGCTATTAAACACTGACAGCTACATTCTCAAGACATACAGAGAAACATGAACATATTGATACATACAAACATTGGTCTGCATACATTCCTATCAGATCCTTAACTCGGGAGGATGGAGCTCCCAAGTGGGAGTACTAGAGCACTGGGGAACTGTGGGCGTGTATGGACTGCTGGCCTCCCAGACAATGCCCCTCCAATCCCGGCCTCCAGGGCACCCACCTGAATCTTGCGATACCATTTTTCGTGGGAGCAGCTTCTTGATCTGTGCAAAAAAGAAGTATCAGAATCTGAAGAGAAGCCCCCACATTTCTAGGTCCACTCTCATTTAGGGGTGACCCTACAGCTGTATCCAATGAGCATCATGACCCCCAACTTTGTCCGGAGTAGCTTGCCTGCCCCCTGTCTCCGTCCCTCCACACACACACACACACCAGAGTGTCCAGCTCTGTACTCACTGGGGGGGGTGGGAGCACAAAGTTGTCTGGGAAAACTCCTCTTTTGCCTTGAGACTCTCCTTCCCACCAGCCCTCATCGTCTGTGACCTGGAGAGAAAAGATGCTGGGGAGAGGTGTGCCAGGTCCTCCAGCTCCTTCCTCCCCAGGCCTCACCCCTTCTCAGCAGGCCCTTCCCTACACCCTCCCCTGCCTGGGCCTCTCATACCTTCCTCAGCACCTTCACCTCGTCCCCCCTCCGCAGTGCCAACTCATCTGGGGCCTCCGGCTGGTAGTCAAACAGGGCCCTATAGGTCTCAGGGTAGAAGACTGAGGGGAGGTCAGTCCTCTGAAGCCAAATCCCCGCCCCAAATCAAGTCTTCAGATCCCTCCTCCATCAGCCTAGCGGGACCCTCACTTTCCGAAGTGAAAGTGCTTTGGGAAGGGGCTACCCAAGGGATTATCTGGCTGGGTGCTCACCTGACCGAAGGAAGTCTGGAGGGTTGTCACAGGTCAGGCTGTTCATCTAGTGAGAGCAGGGAGAGGGAGGAACAAGCTGAACCTCCAATCCCCACTCCTAACCCTCGCCAGTGCCCCATGAGGAACTCCCCACCTCTTTACCCACAATTTACCTTGGGCGGTTGCTTGGGATCAAGGAAGATTGAAGGCATGCCTGGGTTATCAAGGCCTGGTGAAGGAAAGGGAGGTTAGGGGTGTGTGTGTGTTAATTCATAGGTTAGGTCACAGAAGAGGTCAAAGGGGTCACAAAGTCAAGATGTGTGGATCAGCCACTGGGAAGGTCATGGGAGACTGCAGTCTGGTCACAGGGCTTCACGGGGTCATTGGGTCCAGTTCTCACTTGGGGGCCCACTGTCCTCCAGCAACTCCACGAAGTTGGATGGAAAGGCTCCCAGCTGCCCATTCTTCTTTCCCAGCCACCAGCCGTCCTCAATCTGGGGAGGGAGAGGACGCAGAGGTTTCTGGTTCTGCCCTGGAATCTTTCTAGACATCGCTCTTGGTTCTGCCCTGGTTCTGCCCGATGAGCCCCTCCATCCTTGGTCCCTCACCATTCCCATCACTTCACCCACTTCCCCTCACCCGTGGGTGTGCTTCATCCTCTCTCTCCCTCAAGTCCTCTCATCACCTTATCTTCTCACCTCCTTAATCACTTCCACAATCTCCCCAGCTTGCAACTTCAGCTCGTCTGCCTGCTCCGGGCTGTAGCTGAAGTTCACTTTGCACCATTTTTGGGAGCTCCGAGATTTGGCGGGGCGACCTGGGGTGGGAGGTGAATGAGAACGCGGAGGCAGAGCGGAGCTGGGGGAAGTGCGTGCCTCCACCCCCGCTCGGGGCGGGGCATTGTGCCTGAGAACCAATCACAGGCCGCAGAGCGGCCAGGCAGCCCCGCCCACAGAGACGCCCGCGGGGCCAGAGTGGGCCGCCGAGCAGCGATGGCTCCGCGCCCGGCCCGGCTCTTACCTCGGCTGCGCGCACGGCGTGGTCTCGGCGCCTCTCCCGCGCCGCGCAGAGCCTCCGGGATCTCCTGGAAATGAGGGCCCGGGAGAGGGGGCGCTCAGCTCCCCAGGCGGAGGGCTAGGACGCCCCGCCAAGTAGACCCCCCAGGGCTCACCTGCACCAGGCGCTCCGGGAAGAAGCCGCAGTGGCCCCCCAGCTCCCCGCGCAGCCAGCCCCGCGCGGGGCCCTGGCACACCTGCCGGACCACGTCCCCCGGCGCCAGGCTCAGCTCACCCTCCTTCTGCGCGCGGTACCCGGCCAGCACCAGCACCTCTGCGGGCGGAAGCGCGGCTCAGGAGGGCCCAGGCAAGGCCCCCCTGGCCCGGCGCGAGTCCGGGCCCCGCGTTGGGGAGAGCGGGTGGCGGTGGAGGTTTTTGTTGCCATTTCCACACGGTTGTGTAGAGGACCCACCCCAAGCCTTCCGCACATACCCATCGCTTCCGGGACGCCCTCCGGACCCGGGCAGGGAGGACAGAGCGATCCCGCGGGCGGCAGAGTACTGGGCTGGGTAGGCTGGGACGAGCTGCGAGACTGAAGCAAAAGAGGCGGAGACACAGGCGGATAGGATAGGTCCCGCTCCAGGTGCTGAGAGTGGGTGTGCGAGAGGGGGCGGCCCGGCTCAGCAGGTTTGACCCCCAACCCAGGGGTGAGGAATCCAAGGTCTCCGGCCGGCGCTGAGGTTACAGCTCCCAGGTCACAGCTCCCCCATTTGCTCTTGCCTGCCCACGCGCCTCAACTTTCAGTCCAGCTTCCTCCGGTCCTCCTAACCTTAGCCCCGAGGCTCCCACCCACCTCTGGCAGAGCCTCCCTGGCCTGTCCTCTCCCTGCTGGCAAGCCTTTAGCTGCAGGGGAATAAGTGGGGAGAGGCACATACCTGGGCGGGGCCCCCCTGCAGGCAGGAGCCGCTCCTTGGCAGGAGCCGAGTGGAAGAGGTGGTTGTTCTAGTGCCCACAAAGCTACTGCTGGTGCGCTCTGCTTTCCCTGGGAGGGAGGGCTCCCGGCTAGTGCAGAGGAGGAAGAGCGACTCTTCCTTTGGTTTCAGAAAACACCTCCAGATTCTTTCAGTGCTTCTGCTGGTTACAGCCAGCCCAGAGCTGGCCAGGGCTGAAACATAGGGTCCACCTAGTACCCATCCCATGTGGGCTAGGCTCACTTTCACGTAATATTTTCAATGTATTTTTATTCATTTCAGAGAGGGAGAGGGATAAAAACATCGGAGGGAATCATTGACTGCCTCCTGGATGCCCCCCCCTCCCCTTTTCTGGGGATAGAGCCAAACCAGGCATGTGCTCTGTGCTCTGACCGGGGTTCCAACTGTGACCACCTGGTTCATAGGTCGACACTCAACCACTGAGCCACGCCAGCCAGGTGCCTTCACGTAACCTCGCTGCTCAGAGGAAAACACACAAGGCCGCGTCTGTTATCCACACCCCTTGGCCTCCGCCCCAGCACCTTGGAAGCCAAAGTCCTTGCTCATGCATGTCACACCACAGTGAAAAAATCTGGTTCTCCTGGGGTGTCCAAGACACAGAATAAAGTAAAACCATTGGGATGAGAATGCAGTCATAAACTCCTCCCCAGGATGAGTGTGAGACTGGTGAGGTTCGGGCTGGGCAAGTTTGAGTCCAGCCCCCACAGACATTTTCTCTTCCGGATTCCCTATAGGAGATATCCGCCCCCACGAACATGCGACACACCCCCCCCCCTCCCCAATAATCAGAGTCCATTTACACCTGCCACTTCATTTATTTATTTTTATTTGCAGGAGGAGTTGAAACAAATCTTTAAGGGGGGGTTTCCCCTTAAACATGAATCAAGTAAAACCAACTTAACTATAGAAATGTAGCAAAGTAAGGGTAAAAGTAGCACAACCCAAGAGGCAAAGGTTGGGGGGACGGGGGGAGGTGGGTGCAGTCCCCATATACCATATGCGTAAGTGCCATATGATTCACCTGCTCAGGACCGCCTCCCCGGAAGGCAAGCACAAGGACCCATTTTAAGAGGATGTTTCCCCCCCCAAATATCTGAGAATGCTTCAACTTAAAGCTTAAGGTTAAAAAGGGAAAAAAAAAAAAAAGGAAAAAAAAAGAACCCCACAAACCACCCAGCCATACCACCTTCCTTAATCAATCATAGGAGTTTCTTTTCATTTTATAAAAAGATTAATAAAAAATATTGAAAAAATTATTTTCTCATCTTATATTTGTAAAGACAATAGAATCCAGAGTTTCTTAGAAAACAGACCAGAAACCGTCACCCAGTGCCCACCACTGCTGCGGAGGTCAGCGGGGCTGGAACACTGGGACGCCGGAGCTGCTGGTGGAGAATGGGAAGCCCGCCCAGAAGAAATCAGACAATATTGGGGAGGGGCGAGTGGGGTGTGGTTAGGAGCAATACCATGTGATACATGGCTACGCAGAAAAGGGGAACACAAGGTGGTCAGAAAGGCCTTGAACTCCTCCTCTACATACAAAACCAATTTTTATAAAGATCCAAGCAGTTGGTCCCAAACTGAGATGAACATTTCAATGTTTATTCACATGCTTTGTTTTCTCTTTTAAGAATCAGGATCAAAAGTTGTCCAAATTAAATCTTTCTGCTAATGTTACTACAATATATGCCTTAAAAAAAAGAAAAAAAAAAAAAGAGGGCTTTAAAAACCAGGAAAAGAAATTAAAAATCATCAAATTAGTCCTCTTAGCTCCAAATGAAATGAAATTAAGAAAACTGGTTTCTAATAGGAAACAAACCAAAATCCAAGTATCGCTCTCCCCTCCCTGCCCAGTCCCCACCCCACACACCAACAACAAATGAGAAACACAGCGAAAGCCCAATGTGCTGTGTTCTGCTCAAAAACTGGGCCTGACCAGGCTCCATGGCCAGCCGCCTCCGTCCAGTGGGACCTGCGCCAGGAGTGCTTTCAGCTGCAGCAGCTTTCTGCATGGCTGGTGGGGGTTTTCAGAATCTTCTTGGGGCTTCTGTTTAGTTCTCCAGCCATTTCCTAGCGCCTGTCCCCCCTGGGTAGGAGCTTCGATCACAACGGCCCCTACTCAGTGGTGGGCTGTAAATTGTCCTTCTCTTCTCGGTTCTCTGTCCCACTCTCGTCGTCTTCTATCTCCCCTTCTTCCCCACTGAACTTGTCGTGGGCCCATTTGGGGCTGGTGCTGGATTTCCGGAACATGAACCGGCCCCGACCTCGGGGGAAGGCTCCTCGGCCGCGGCCCCGGCCCCCCCACTTCTCACTGCCTTCGCCTTCACGGTCGTCATGCTAAAAGGAAAGAAAACTGCCATCAATACCAGAGTTAACAAGTAGCTAGAACCGTCCTCTGTACCTACCCCCAAATGTCCTTCTCAAACGATCCTATGTCCAGACCTCCCTTTGCTCCTTCTCCGTCCTCCTCCTCTTCCCCACTCCAAAGACACTACTGATTCAGATCCAACAGAACATTCAGGTGGTACGCTGGGAATGCTAAGGCAGTAGCTTGGGCTTTATAATAATAATGATAATGATAAAATCTTCACTGAGCTTTCAGAAAGACCTGTACATACATTATCTCATTTAACCCTTACATCTACCCTATCATTATCACCCTCCACTATGCAAATGAGTAAACAGGCTTAGGAACTTTAACTCATTATTTACTTAGTACACCACCTCGCAAAGGATGAATTTGAGAATGCCAATCACACCAAAATATGAAACTGTCTGATCTAGGTTGTCAGGTAGCTCACAGAAGCAATCCTCAAATACACATAGCTCCGCTACAGTTCTTCCCACCCAACCCCAGCCTCAGCCCAGAACAGACAGCAAAATCAAGAGTAAATTTGTTGCCCATGGTCTCAGACTTAGTGGCCAAGTCAGGACCAGAACGCAGTCTCCTGCCTTGTATCGCCCATCATCTTTAGTTTTATGTAAGGAGGAGGTGTAGCAAAGTAGGAAAAACACAACCTACATCTCTAACAACCCCACTCTGACCATTTCACCAGAAAGGAGGCAGCCAATGAAAAAATGAACGAGAATTTTGAAAAGTAGGAGTCATTGCTAAGTCATCAGCCCCATGGCTTCAACCACCCACCCATGCATTAGGGGAAGGCTCTTGGGGGTCAGCCAGGGAAAGGGCCAGCTGCTTCCTACCAGGGTTGCTTGTTTACCTGGCTAAATGCATCAGGTGGGTGATGCTCCCTTAGGTGGCAAGCAGGAGCAGGAAAAAGGGCTCCCCCTATAGCAATCCCACTCTAGGACCTATCCTGGACCCAGTCAACATTTCCCTAAATCCAAACTCAAGGGTTCTTGAGGAATCTCAAAGCAGCTCCCAGCAGCCCTAGAAAAGGGAAGGAGGCTGTGCAGAGCCATCTACACAACAGCCTGTTTCCTAGTTATGCAAATGACATCTCAGACCCATGCCAGCCCTTCTGCTAGACGATGAAGACTCAGCTCCAGGTTTACCTTCATCACAACACTCAAAGGTACATCTCTCTGTTTGGATTTAAGCCTGCTATTGACATACCAAGGCCAAGAGACTGGACTCACTAGCAGGTAATTCAGCCTAGAAGAGCCCTAACCTGAGGGAGGGGCGCGAAGTCCAGAGGTGCCTGGTACCTGACCCGGACCAACAGCTTAGACGAGAGAAGCCCCAGTGGCATTCCATTTTGGAGACAGAGATCCTGAGCTATCTTCCCTGTCAATCTTGCATTGGCAAGTGACTGAGTGGAACTGTGGCTTAAGGTAAGGATTATAGCTTTATTCCTGAGTAGAGACTGAAGGGAGGCAGAGATTGGGATGGGCGAGTAATAAAACAAGTCACAAACTAAAAAGGGAAAAGCAACCCTTCTTGTTTACCCTAGAATCCATGTATGTCTCAGGTGATAAACCCTTGAGGCCAGGGCTGCCTCTCTTAGAGAATACTCATCTTGCCAGCACTCTCTGCCCCCCAAGGACACATCCCGCCCAGTACAAGATGCCTCCACACGTAATCAGTTCTGAACAGACCGAACATACCAACCAAAGCCTTGGTATCAGCTATTATGTATGCCAAAGGCCCTGGCCCTTCCTGGTTATCCCGACACATACCAGGTAATACTTCTTGCTCTTGGGCGTGTACTCAGGGTCCCACTCCTCTTCTCGGCTTCTCTTTTGAAAATCATTGTTGCTGTTATTGTTGTTGTTTCCAGAGTAGCTGCCTCTGCCCCAGCCTCTACCTCTGGCTCGAAATTGCTGTGGCATAAAGAGGGAAAGGGAACACAGGACCATGTCAGGAACGGAGAAAATCAGTGCCCTGCATTCTGTTCAAGCACATTTCTGGCACGGAATACTGTTGTCCTGCAGTCAATATGCTGGTCCACTGGTTTCTAGCCAATTCCTTTCTGTTCACTTAAGGTGTACAGCCTAGAAAGAGGACAATATGGCACCACGGCCTCTGGGCACAGCAGAAGTCAAGATAAGTTGGGAAGTTCTGAGACTAAAAGCCCTAAGAGGCTTTCTAGTGTCTAGCTCAGCAATTATGACCAGTAAAATACAAGTAGAAAGCCTAGGTAACGGGGAACCACATTCTGATGGTTCTGGAGACTGGATTCCTTATATTAAGGGCAACAAACTGGTATTCTGATAAACACATAATTCGAATTGGTGGGAGCAGGTGGTGAGAGAGAAGGGGTGACAGCAGGGTCTTACAAAGGTCCCTCGAGCTCTGCCTCCTCTTTCATTTGGACCCACGAAGTCTTTGGTCCCCAGTCTTGATTTGTCAAAGCCAGTGGTGCTCTCCTCTCTCTCCTCAGTTTCTTCAGTGTACTCCTCCACTTTGTAGGAGTGGGATGAGTGGGAGGAAGAGGATGATGATCTGGACCGGTCTCGTGTTCTCCGGTGCTTCCTAAGAAAACAGAAGACCCAGGAAAGAGCAATAAACCTCTTGGCTAGGGCCTCCTGGCTAAGAAGCACAGGGCAATCAGGAATGTGTCTGTGATGAAGGCATTGAAAATGAGTAACCTAAAAACCTCAATTCATCCCACCTTACCCACCCGGGATACCTAGGGAGATCCTAATTCTGTCAGTCGTGTTCACTAACACATCCTCGCCTGAGCCTGTGATGAATACAGGACACATACATAAGAAACAAAACAATCCATGGCCTCTGGCAGTTCAGTTTAATGCATGTGCACGAAATAGAAAAGCAGAAGAAAGCTTACCCTGTGCTGAGAGTCCCATGTACATGGCACTGGGACAGAGGCTTCATCTAGCTGTGCTTTCTAGGACTTTATTTCTCATAGGAAGAACACTACCTACATCTCTTGTGGTTGCTCTGAAGACCGAACACTTTACACTGACATAGCAAGCACAAAGTAAATGGCAACTCTGATTATTCAGTAGCATTCCATTTTCCAGGTGACAGAGCTGAGCAGAACCTGGATTCAAACCTACTTCTAATTATACTACTGTTCCACATGCCACCTCACTCTGAGCTCAAATAGGGTGTTATTAAGCACAAAATCTGGCAGAACCCTTCCCAGTGATTTCCCTACCTTCCCTTCATCTGGTGGAAATTACAGACTACAGCAAAGGAGACTACTGCGATGAGTCACTGTCTACGTACTAAAGGTCAGGGCCAGCCCTGCGTCTAGGGGAGGTTGCCTCTAAGGTGGCAGAAAAGCCAGGCTCCCAGGGGTGGAAAAGGAGTTACAGGGAGAAGCCAAGCAAGTGTCAGTGGCCTATCACTCTCCTTCCTTCCCTCACCCTCCTCCATTAGGAAAAGCACATTGCCCGCTCCCACAATTTCTCTCTCTTACTCTCTGAAATCAATAAAGAAATATATTAAATTTAGCCAAAACCGGTTTGGCTCAATGGATAGAGCGTCGGCTTGGGGACTGAAGGGCCCCGGGTTCGATTCCAGTCAAGGGCATGTACCTTGGTTGCGGGCATATCCCCAGTAGGGGGTGTGCAAGAGGCAGCTGATCGATGACGATGTTTCTACTCTATCTCTCTCCCTTCCTCTCTGTATAAAATCAATAAAATATATTTAAAAAAAAAAAAAAAAAAAGAAAAAGAAAAAAAAAGAAATATATTAAATTAAAAAAAATTTTTTTTAAATAACTTCTCTGGTTTGGCTCAGTGGAGTGTCACCTGAGGACTGAAGGGTCCCAGCTTTGATATCCAGTAAGGGCGTGCAGAAGGCAGTGATTCTTTCTCATCATTGATGTTTCTATCTCTTTCTCTCCCTCTCCTTCCTCTCAGAAATCAATAAAAATATATTTTAAATAATAATAAAATAAAAGCTTATCATTTTCAAAAAAGAAAGGAAACAAATAATCTCTCTTGGAAATGTCCGCTAACTTAGTTTAAAAAGCACTAAGATCTACAATCTTGTCCTATCTAGTCCCACAGCTTGTTTGACCAGTGTTACCACCTGATGACTTTAAGCCATTTCTAAAACATAACCTCCGCATGAATATTTGTGATGAGAAAGAACATCTAAAACAGCTACAAAACGAATCCCCAAATGATTTCCCACCTCCCGTAGCCGAACTAGCTGGCCATCTCCCAGCAGCAGGCCTTCTTTGGAGAAGGTTCACACCCACTTTAATAGGTTTGGTGTAGAGCCTAAAGGGGGGCAGATGAGACTCCAGGAATCTGAATGAGGTGACAGGGGCTCACGTACTTCTGCTTCTTTGATCCTTTATGGGTTTTCTCTGTTTTCTCGGCTGATCTTTCCCTTGAGTGGCTTGAGTCTCGGGAATCCACTGATTCTCTTGATTTACCTCGTTTAAGATCTCTCTCCTTATGTTTTTTACGACGTTCAATATCAAGGCGGAGATCTACAGGATCATCTTTGTACTTCCCCTCAGCCTGGCAAAAGAAAATCAAAATGAAGGTTTCTGGGGTTCAGGGCTGCCAACTCAACCACCCCATAAACTGTGGTTACTACTCCAATGGAGTGGTGCAGAGGGAGAAATGGGAGTGTGAGGCACCTCACCCAAGCTTGGGAAGGATGCAGATGTCCCAAGAAGTCCCAACAAGTCACTTCATAAGGATCCCTCCCGCAGATCCCAAATCAGTTCTCCAAAGTAATAATGGCAGCCTTCTAAACATGCTTTATACTTGGGGGGATAAGGACATATAAGTAATACCTTAATCAATAAAGAATCTTTAAAAAAAAAATAAATCTAAATATGCTCTATATTGATCTTGCTTCATTTCCTCCGCAGCCTCGTAATGACCTGGCTAGCCTACAAGTTGAGAAGGCCAAATCAGTTCTAGAAAGTGGTTGGCTAAGGCTGACTCCTGCTTATTCACCAGCAAAAGTAGAAAGGCATGTGTTACCCTTTTCCTACCTTCAATGTAGCAGCCATCCCACACTTATCCTAGACTTGGAATCATGTCTAAGTACTGAGTCCAAAGACAGAGAATGGGAGCCTTAAACAGCCTGCCTAACTGGTTGATTATACTGAGAATTTCTCTAGAGAAGAAGTATCAATAATGTAGGGTGTACCATAATTTCATAAAGTGGCAAAATCAGGTCAAAGTTTTTTTGGGTTTTTTTTTAAGGAAAAAGAAGAAAAAATCTTCTTCTAGGAAGTGTAACCACCAGGCCAGGGGAGTTGCAGACAATATGACCAGCCCTGCAGGGGTCCCACAGTTCTTGGGGAAACTTAGTGAGAGCAGAGATGCAAGGTGATTTCAAGAACATTATACACTAAGCCTTGTCTCCTGGGACTAACACCTCCCTAAAAGAGCAAGAACTGGGCAGTTCACTCTGTATTATAAATATTTCACTTATACTAAGCTTTTTGTTAAATAAAAGTTTAACAGGAGTGGTAGGTATTAAGTTTATTTTATTTCCATTGTTTTTGAGGGGGGAATCTCTGCACCCTCCAAAGACTAAAGAAACACAAGACAAAAGCAGACGCTGCTCCCTCAGGCGGTGCACATATCATCTCTAATGAGCTGGCTTTGTGAGGCAGAGATGAGGTGTCTTCTGGGTTTCAAAACCTTGCTTTTCACATGTTAGTGTCAATCTGGTGGACACTTCAAGAAAAAGAAAAAGGGATGGGAGAGAAGAGAGATTGTGCAAGAGTGCCTCTCATCACATTAGACCAAAAAGACAAATTTGTTTAGAAAACTTGAAAAGTAATTAAAATTTTTAGAAAGGTTTCAGCAGCATTGAAAGAGCCAACTTTGAATTTTAAATTTCAACTGCATATGTGAATGAAGGTCAATAAATACTAAGATTTTTTTAAAGCACCAGATCTAGTATTTCACATTAAAAAAGTGTATATAAGCTTTAATCTCTTAAGAGTTTTTACGTGCACATCATTGCAAATGTAGCTGGGCTATCAAAGTAATGTTTAGCTTCAAAGTAACAGTAACCAACAGATGATAGATATGGTACAATGTTAGAAAAAACTGGACTAGCTGTTTAAAACAGTCTAATAAGTTAAGATATGAATATTTCACTCTCCTCTGACATGCATGTCTTTTTTAAATCATGGTTGGAAATAGTGCATGTATATAGTTGATTTGATAATACTTACAAGCAGAAAAATATCACAAAAAGTTTCTTCTCTCATCATGGGCACTTGTTCCAAAACTCCTTTTTTTTTCTCAAGCTCACCTCAATAGACTTTGGGGTCATTTACCATATTCTAACCACTTCACAAAGGTTGTTGATACATTTAATAAAAATTAACCCTTTGTAGTTCATTTTTAGAATTATGCCCATCCTTAAAAGAAAAACACAAACTTAAGTAGAGAGTAATTTAAACAAACACATTTCTGTCAAGTTCATGCCCAACGCACTCATTTTGTCGGAATTACTGATCAAAGCAACAGTTCACCTTGTAGCCAGGTTCCCGGGGACTTTTCATTTCATCATGAGCCAATCCATGTTTCCTGAACGTACTGGGGGAAATGTCTATCCTCCTACAAGTGAAAACACAAAAAAATTAATATCCACAGTGTGACTATAATACAGGTAATATTTTAGTTTAGAAGTTGGTAATGGAGTCATAGGCATTCCTTTTTATGTTTCATAACTTACATATTACTTATATTCTTTGCATTCTTACCCTCTCCCATAGGTGTGCACAAAGCACACAAAATCTAAAACTTCTCAAACTCAAACAGTAATGTTACATCCAGGAAGGCAGACTCACAGACAAACTTATGATTTCAAGTTCATGTCAAGATTATCTCTAGAATCCTGACCCGGAAGCTCAATTAGTTAGAGCCGTGGTCTGCAAACTGCGGCTCACGAGCCACATGCGGCTCTTTGGCCCCTCAAGTGTGGCTCTTCCACAAAATACCACAGCCTGGGCAAGTCTATTTTAAAGAAGTGGCATTAGAAAAAGTTTAAGTTTAAAAAATTTGACTCTCAAAAGAAATTTCAATTGCTGACTAATGAGTTTGCCCATCACTGAATTAGTGCATCGTCCTGATAAGCCAAGGTTGTGAGTTTGATCCCCGGTCAGGGCATATACAACCAACTTAATGCATAAATAAGTGAAAAAAACAAATCAATGTTTCTCCCTACCCACACACTAAAACCAACCAATCAATCAATAAGTTGGGTGTTTTTTTTTTAAGGACTATCTATATGTTCTATTAACGAGTTTCACGTTGGAAATTAGAATGGCCCATTATTCACCAATGAGATAGGTCTAGAGGAGAAACATTTGCCCAGCATAACCCTAAATCCAAGACTACTGTACAAACGTGGTCCTACCAACTATAGGTAGCTCCATTCACAACTACAAACATCCACTTCTTTCCTATAATCTGCAGGGTGTTACCTTAAATTCTACTGCTAATGTGGCAAAGATAGTTTAATATCTGATGATAAGTCTTTTTTTAAAATATGTTTTATTGATTTTTTAGAGAGGAAAGGGGAGAGAGAGAGAGCCAGAAACATTGATGAGAGAGAAACATCGATCAGCTACCTCCTGCACACCCCCCACTGGCGATGTGCCCCCAACCAAGGTACATGCCCTTGACTGAAATCGAACCTGGGACCTTTCAGTCCGCAGGCCGACGCTCTATCCACTGAACCAAACCGGTTTTGGCTTGATGATCAGTCTTTTATGACCACCTCCAATGTAGGGTTGAGGTCCTCACCTGTGTATCTCTGGGCTTTTCTTGTTCTTAGCTGCCTCTTGCTCAGTTCCTCTCTTTAGGTACTTAGTAAAGCGTTCATGCAATGTCATTCCCGAGGACCCAAAGTGATGTTCTGTGGGGATTCGAAGACAAACACATTATGCCATCAAAGGCAGACATAAGATTCATAATACTCAACTCTTTTATATGAAGCTGCAGCTACAGAGATGTGACTAAAATTTGCAAATCTACATAACAAACATACTGAAAAGAGAAAGGAAAAAAGGATGGTTTGCACAATCCAATGTTGGGCACTAGAATACCACTGTAGCTCCCTTATCTTAAGACATGGATACAAAGAAACCTGAGCTTACTATCATTTGCATCACACCACCAACTCCTGCTTAAGTTTAAATTTCAGATGGAACCTATAACTGGCACAACCGAGCTTCTATATCATCTCTCTGTCATTCCCCAACCCGCCTACCTCTATTTGCGCCCTTATGGTGGAGGAAAAAATTCACACACAGCATAAAGACAACAAGAGGCTTCTTCTTAGTGGACAAGAGAAGACAGAGGTTTGGGTAAAACCACTTTTCATACTTGCTTTTACAAGCATTTTAAGCCTTCATGTGGAAGATTTTACCTATTCTTATCAAAGAAGACAACTAACAATTCAAAATGTTCAGCTCTGTAATTAAAAAATGGAAGCTCCTTGCTGAAATGGATTTCTTACAGCCAGTCCCTTACTTCAAAGGCCCTTTAATAAGATAAAGGGCCTGATAAAGCTCCCTTATTCACCCACTCATCCTTCTGCTTGCAATAGAGGAAGCTAAGCTGTGGAAAGGGATCCTGATCAGACTGGGGTTGGGACTTACCTTTAACGTGGTGAACAATGGTCACAATGTGCTGGGCAAACAGTTCTGAGGGGCTCCGCTGAGACTGAGCTGACTGTATGTGCTGGAAAATGGAACGGAATTCTTGTTCCTTTTTGTTGCTATGAACTAGATCCCGAGAAAGCTTGCGCTCCTGAGCCAGTAATCCACTGGGTCTGTTGGGGGGAGAAAACACAAGGGGGTTCCATTTAACAAGATATACAGAAAGTCAATGAATATGTATACAATGCCTTTGTTCAAAGCGTTTTAATTTTATCCACAAAGTTCTGTTTTAAATTCAAAGTAATCTCAATGCACAGCTATGGAAAAAGGCATCCAAAATCTATCGCTTCCCTTTTTTTCACTGGTACTTTTTAATAGAAAGGGTTAATCCTCAGTGATTCTGTTTTTGGCATCACTGCTGGCTTTACCATACACAGCAAATGAGAATGTATTTAAAAGATCGACTAGACTGGCCAGCCAGAGCTATTCAGTGAGTTAACACAATGAAGCAGGAGTGAAATGTGGCTCCTGCTGACTTCCAATAGGCTGCAGAGTTTTTACATTACCCCAAGTTAAAAATAGCTTGGCCTCACCCTAGCTGGTTTTGCTCAGTGGGTAGAGCATCGGCTGCAAACTGAAAGATCCTAGGTTCAATTCTGGTCAAGGGCACATACCAGGGTTGTGAGCTCAATCCCCAGTGGGGGATTTGCAGGAGGCAGCTGATCCATGATTCTCTCTCGTCATGGATGTTTCTCTTCTCTCCCACTCTTCCTTCCTCTCTGAAAAGAAAGGGGGAAAAAAGAAAAGAAAAAAAAGGCCTGGCCTCTTCCTCCTCCAGAATGCAGCCAGAGGTAACCTCTGAAAATGGTTGCTATTCACTTGACCCAGAAACCCCCTACAAAAATCATTCAAATCATGAGGTTCAAATCTTTGTGTTCACTTTAAGAACACTTGTGAAACTGCCAGGTCATCAAGAGTACACATGTCCAAAAAACCACCAAGGATCTGAAGGATGTCACTTTCCAGAAGCAATGTGTGTCATCCCGTTGTTACACTGTAGAGCTGGTAGGTGTGCCCAGGTGAAACAGTGGGGCTGGACACAGGGTCGGTGGCCCAAAGAGTGCTGAATGATTGCTGCACGTGCTAAACAACACAGAAAACCTCTAATGCTGAGTTTAAGGGTTTAGGATGTAGAGTCTCTGGTCATTGAGCACATCCAGGTGCTCAAGATGTGTTGTGGAACATACAGAGCTCATGGGCATATTAACCCATACATGAGCTCCCCTTGCCTCATTGAGAGGATCCTTAGGGAAAACATGCAGATTGTTTCAAAACCACAAGAAGAGGTTGCACAGAAGAAAAAGATATCCCAGAAGAAACCAAAGAAACAAAACTCATGGCCGGGGAGTAAGTTCAACATAAATATTAATAAAAATAAACAACAAAACCAGTCTTGCCATCACCACACTAAAAAAAACTAACACAAATTAAAAATTTTTTTAGAAAGTCCTAAAGTACTACTCCTACTCACAGCCCCAACTCAAAACTGTCACATTATTTCTTGGTGAAGGCCTATAATAATAGGCTCTAGGAGCCTACTAAAAATGGAAAAATAGATCTTGGATGGCTGTACAGGCCAAAGGCACCTTAAGCAAATTCGGGGCGGGGGGGGGGGGGGGGGGGAAGGAGGGGCTAGGGGCTGGATAGAGGGCCGGAAAACAGCAGAGGGGACCCAACACCAAAACCAGTCACTGAAGAAACACCCTTCACCATCCCTGTGATACTGACTTCAACAGGTAATATTGGGTCGGCAACTAAGTAATTGCGGGTTTCACACATATATGGCTTCAGTTGAATTTTTAGGTTTGCAGACGTAGTACAAATGTAAAACACATTTTGTTATTTGATAGTTGGCTATTCAGCTGTTAATCAGTAAAAAAAGTTTTTTTTATCTGTTTTGTAGTTTTCGTTTGGCATTCATTGAAAAATGGAAAATCAAAAGGAACATTTTCGTCATATTTTGCTTTTTTATTTCCGCAAAGGGAAAAACGCATCGCAAGCTCATAAAAAGTTATGTGCTGTTTATGGTGATGAAGCCTTAAAAGAACGGCAGTGTCAAAATTGGTTTGCCAAATTTCGTTCTGGTGATTTTTCACTCAAAGATGAAAAACGCTCTGGTCGTCCAGTTGAAGTTGATGACGCACTAATCAAAGCAATAATCAATTCGGACTGTCACAGTACAACACGTGAGATTGCAGAGAAGCTTCATGTATCACATACATGCATTGAAAATCACTTAAAACAACTTGGCTATGTTCAAAAACTCGATACATGGGTTCCTCACGAACTGAAAGAATCACAGTTAACGCAACGCATTAGCAGCTGCGATTTGCTAAAGAAACGTAATGAAAATGATCCATTTTTAAAACGACTGATAACTGGCGATGAAAAATGGGTTGTTTACAACAATATCAAGCGGAAAAGATCGTGAGCAGGCCAGGTGAACCAACTCAAACACCATCAAAAGCTGATATTCATCAAAAGAAGGTTTTGTTATCAGTTTGGTGGGATTACAAAGGAATTGTCTACTTTGAACTCTTACCACCCAACCGAACGATCAATTCTGATGTCTACATTGAACAACTAACGAAATTAAACAATGCAGTTGAAGAAAAGCGGCCCGAATTGACAAATCGAAAAGGTGTTGTATTCCATCATGACAATGCAAGGCCACACACATCTTTGGTCACTCGGCAAAAATTAATGGAGCTTGGTTGGGATGTTTTGCCATATCCACCATATAGTCCTGACCTTGCACCATCTGATTACTTTTTGTTTCAATCTTTACAAAACTCCTTGAATGGTAAAAATTTCAATAATGATGATGATGTCAAATCGTACCTGATTCAGTTTTTTGCTAATAAAAACCAGAAGTTTTTTGAACGTGGGATTATGATGCTGCCTGAAAGATGGCAAAAGGTCATTGATCAAAATGGGCAATACATTACAGAATAAAATTATTTAGTTCCATGAAAGTTTTAAAATCCGCAATTACTTAGTTGCCGACACAATAGCTTAGTGACACACACTCCCCACTGACAGGTGTGGACCCGAGGGTATCTATCAGCTGTGAAACTTGGGACAGTGGGAAAATACAAGAGGGGCCTGTCTCGGTTCCAGAATGTTCTCAGGAACAGAGGATAGGAGGCACCATTTAGGCCACTGATCAAGGACTAAACCTCACCTTGCAAGGTCCTCATCAAAAGAGTCCATCCGGACATTGACCTGGGCCTCTCGAGTAATAGAAAAGGAAGACTTCCCTGTGGAAAAGTCTCCTTTGGCTCCTAGTTTCTCCCGGCTCTCAGAGGTCTTCCTTGGGGGAGGTGATGAGCTTTTCTCCTGGACCGCTTTGTAAGCAGTCACTCGGAAATTCTTTTCAGGAACAAACCCCCTGTGCCCACTTTCGGTTCTCTTGACTCCTCCCCGATCCTCCTTTTTGGATCTCTCTGAGAAAGAATCTTCCTCCAACTCCTCTGTTTTCCTTTGCTTTTCCTTCCCTGAAGGTGCATACACTTCCCATTTGCCTGACTTCTCATCCTCCTGGTTTTTGTTTGCACCGGCTATGACTTTCGACATAAATTTGGGTTCATCATCAAACTCAGATTCCTTCCTTCCTTTGGCTTTGTCCTTATCTTGGTCATCCATGTCTTCCTTGTGGAAATCAGCCATCTTCTTCTCAAAGTCATCTCGGAGCTTGTATCTTTTAGGGGACTGGCTACCCCGAAAAGGCTTGTCAGAATCAGTTTTGGGAGCAAACATATCAGATTTTATTTTCGAATCACTCAAGCCTGTGTCAGAGAAGCTCCCTTTCTCTTTCATTTTCTCTTTATCAGTATTTGTTTGTTTCTGTTCCTTATCTTTTCCATTCTCTGTCTTCTGCTCATCTAGATACCTGGTTATAAAAACAAAAGGGCGACACACAAGAGGCTTCTTAAGCAACCTGATCTAAAACAGCACCACTGGTCTTGGGTTTTTGAATCTCTAAATAAGCATGTCTCGTGGATTCCAGTGTTACCACCAGACTTTCTCCTTGGCTACTTTCTAGTAATTTAAGAGAAAAATACATAGTCCATGGAGTTGTGTCTTACAAAAGCAACCAAAAAGAAAATAACAAAGGTAATTTTTAGGATACTAAAAAACAAAAACCTACTTACCTGTATGTAGTCTAGGAAAAAAAAAAAAATAAGGTCTTATCCAACCTTCAGTCACTTATAATCTGCTTTCAGCAAAATTAACATAGAATGTTCAACCTTGGATTGTTTTGCTTTTATATAACTCACATTTGGAAATACAAGTCTCAAAAGAGACTTCAAATTTGCTTCAAGTCACCTAGAAGATCTAAATATGAAATATACTGCAAAAACAAATAAAAACAAAACATGTGTTAATTGAGAGCAGGGGGGGATCATCCTACTCTTTCTTATGGAAAGGCAGAGCTCATACCCAAGTCTTCTAAAGACATTCACAGTTCTGGCAAGGAACCAACCTTACATTTTAAAGTAGACTTACTTAAGGCTAGAAAGTAGATTCTCAACATCTCATTTGTACCATTAATGGATAATATGGTAAAACAGAATCAAAGGACAGCAGGATATCAAAGAATAATGGGAGAAAAGAAAAAGGGAAAAATACCCCTTGCTCAGTAAATCCCTCTTGACAACTGGTTCCAAGCCAACATCCCTGTTATGTCTCTGCTGTCCCAATCCATACAATCACACAAAGATTCAGGTTCCAACTCACCATGTCCCCTAGGGTATAAAGATGAAAGCATTGTCCCATCCTCTCCTAACATGCAGCCCAGTTGGCTTCTCCTGGGAATACACCCACCTTGTGATTTTAAAACAAGGCCTTCCTGGACTAAGCCTCGGACTTTCCCATTCTGCACAGTCTCCTCAACTGGAGGGTGTGAGGGTGCAGCTCTTCACCACGAGGGGCTGATGCAGATCAATCACAGTAGATGGTGGTTCTTAGCGGGTCTAACAGCTCCAATAGCCATTCATTTTGGCAAAGATCATATTTTTTGATAGCTGACCCACAAATCTCTACTGTTCTCTGGCTTACATTGGTAGAATCCAAGGCAAATTTTTAAATGTGAAAACATCATTTCAGAGTAGTTTAAAGAAACTTTATGCTGCAATACAAATTCAGGAAGGTAGGAAAGCTAGAGTTAAGCTTAAGATGTCCTTAGGTGATGCTTTTTAATTTTGCTAATGAAAAGTTTAGGAATGGGGATTAACTTTTTACCATTAATCACAGCTCTTAGATTACATTACAATCAAACTGCCAGCTGGTGAAATAAAAACATAACCAGGACAGGCAAACAAGATACTTGCCTCTTTGAATAGGCTGCTCCTCCTGAAGCAGCCTCCTCCTTCTGAGACGAGCCATATGTGGAGCCAGTGGCTGGTGGACTCTTACCCACAGGGCTCTTCTTGGATGGACTCAAGGACCCAGAGCCATGGTCAAACTGACCTTGGTGTGTCCCAGCTTGGTACCCAGAACCACTCTGCAGACCTGAGCCCATCTGGGATGTGCTGGAAAGTGGAGGGCTAGGCTTTGGCACAGGGCTGGGACGGGGAGATCGCCGCCTCACTACCACAGATTGGAGGGGGCTTTTAAGAGCAGGGCTCCGCTCCCGGGGACTCAGCTCAGAAACCGATGCCCGTGATGCAGAACCAGCACTGTATGTGCTGCCATCTGCCCATGGCTTTGAGCTCTCAGATGCTTTTGTATCTTGAGAGGTGCCTCCAGAGAAACTCTGCTCCTTGGCCTCTTCTCCTTGGTTATCTCCAGCAGACTGAGATGGACGGCTATCCTTGGAAGAGGACTTTTTCTCCTTTGCAGACTTGCGCTTGGAAGATTCAACTCGGCTGTGGTTGGAGGAAGAACGAGAGGATGATGAGCGCCTTGACCTGTCAGAGGAAGACTTATCGGAGTTTCTAGAATGGCTCCTGGATCTTGGTGAAGGAGACCTTCTCTTTGGGGACCGGGATCGGGACCGGCCCCGTCGAGGACTGTATGCCTGTCGATAATTCTGCCAATTTGAGCGGTAGTTTCCATAGCCTCCTCGGTTATACTGGCCCCATGGATAAAAGCCTCTGTTGCGCCCACGGAAATAATAGGGCCTTCTATAGCCTCTGTTGTGACCTCGGAAATCCCGATTCTGATAGACTCTTGGGTGATTCCTCTCTCTGTTATGAGCTGGAGAATATGATCTGGAACGAGACCTAGAACTGAAAAGGGGATGAAGGGAGAAGAAATGTTAGAATTTTGACATAAACATATTTATTCTTGAAAAACCTGTCAAGAAAAAGTAACGTTTTGAAATTCCTGCTCATAGGGAGCACACTTAAATATTTAATCCCACTGCTTATGAATCATATTAAGTAAAAAATAAATAAATAAAAAAGACAAATAAGAATCATTTTAACAAATGAGCTGCCAAGAATGTTTATTATTGAACATTTTATTTTTATAAGTCTTTATTACTGAATGTATTATATATGCCCCCTTTTTTCTTTTTCTTTTTTCTTAAAATATATTTTATTGACTTTTTACAGAGAAGAAGAGAGGGATAGAGAGTTAGAAACATCAATGAGAAAGAAGCATCGATCAGCTGCCTCTTGCATACTCCCCACCAGGGATGTGCCCGCAACGAAGGTACATGCCCTTGACGGGATTGGAATCTGGGACCCTTCAGTCCGCAGGCTGACGCTCTATCCACTGAGCCAAACCTGTTTCAGCTGTCCCCTTTTTTCTTCCATTGACCCCTCATAGTCTGCCCCTGTCCCTCACTCCAGGTATAACACATTTAAGTAAGTAAAGCTATATTTCTGCAGTGAAAGAATAGCAAAATGTTCTTAATGCAATAAACTAAACAAAGGCTATCTAGTGTACTAATTGCTTAGGGTTTCACACCACAGGGATTTTACAAGAGCCTACATCACTGGAAGCAAGGAAGAACTACAAGCTACGACATCCAGTTAACTGTTCAGGTCCTTTGGCCCCAATACTGTTATAACACTCTACTGCCCATCCTATTCACCTCTATCTGTGCAGGGCCAATTTCTTAGATTCCACTAATGCCAGGTCTAAATTAAAGCCACTTAACTAAGGACTTAGAAAAGCTTTGAACACAAAGTTTAAAAGATTTTTAACTGAAATCATTATCAGCAAGACATACAAGTATTAGTTTTTTACTGGGGACCTGGAAATGGTCTCACTATTTAGGTCAGTAACTGTGGCTGAACTACAGGAGATTAACTGGGTGCCACAAGAGGGCACTACTGACTGTAAGACACACAAGCGCACTGGAGATCAGCAGAGAAACTATAAAACAACCCTTCCTTACCATGTACATCTTTCAAGTCAACCTAAAGCCTAAGATGTGTTCTTTATTGTTTAAAAATATATTATAGAACTCTAGCCGAGGCCGGTTTGGCTCAGTGGTGGAGCGTCGGTCTGCGGACTGGGGGGTCCCAGGTTCGATTCCGGTTAAGGGCATGTATAATACATTGGTTGCAGGCACATCCCAGGTGGGGGTTGTGCAGGAGGCAGCTGGTCAATGTTTCTCTCTCATCAACGTTTCTAGCTCTATATCTCTCTCCCTTCCTCTCTGTAAGAATCAATAAAACATATTTTTTAATATATCTATCTATCTATCTCTAACTTGGCAAAGGTACATTTCCAGAATCATAAGTACTCAATAGTAACCTAGCTTTGTAAAAAAATTTATGTCCATGAATACTAGGCTTATCAATGACAGGGAGCTTCATTGATCAAAAAGCTAAAAACTGTATTTGTTGGTGTAAAAATCCACTGGGGTTTTTAGATAACACCTGTCTTGTCAACTAAAATACAGATCATTAACCACTACTCATAAGTAGTTAGTAGAAATATGTAGAATTGCTACAAAATGCTTTCCAAAAATATTTCTTTACATAAAGAATAAAAACCCTTCAGCAGGCCTCATAGCAGGTCTGACTGCAAACCGGTTGTTTTATAAATAACTCCATTTAGCAAATGTGACAGGACTTAACAAAAAGACATTTAAAAAAAAAAATTACACTATTTTAACCTAAAGACAAAGTGGGTTTGGTTTTCTATTATTACCTGCTGTGCTCAGGTTCTTTATCTATCCCAAGAACAAGAGCAACTGGCAAGATGCATAACACTGGTCATTAATGGTTGCTATTTAAGTCCAATTAAAAAACAAAACAAAAAACTTACCTTCCACACTTTTCATTCGAAAATAGCACAATATTAAGAAAAGGAGGAGGAAGAGGTAGATGCAGGCTATGCAACTGAATGTGACCGGATTAAGTGGCTACACTTGAGGGAGGTGCTGTACCACCAAACTAAGGAGGGTTTAATTCATGTTGCCATCCTCAGAGGCTACTGTTGCTTCTGTCACCAATTACTAGTGAGGGCCCTGTGGCATAGTGCATCCAAAACCCGCAGTCACTGCAGATGCAGGAACATGATTCTCTGCAGATTGCAAATGAAGTTATTTACAAAAAGTCACTTTAAAGGATACAATCTGTGAAATACAAGGAAACAAGCAATTTTCTCCATGAAACAGATAAGCCTGAACTGAATATCCATGGCAAATTTATCTGTTTCTAAAAGAGAAGTCACACTAGAATAAAGTCTAAAAATATGTTTTCTAGTGGAGAAATTCTAGGTATAAGGTAACAATAAAGGGGCTCTAGACCTACTCCAGCACATACTGCCTGCCTATATTTTTTTCCTCATTTGCCAAGATGATGACCATGCCAATGATTTGTAGAATAAGCAGAAGAGATCTGTTCAGACAGATCCTCCCAGTTCTATTTATCACAAATACCTCAGAGGTAGTTAACATTTTTCAATTTGGCTTGTGTCAGTTCTATTTTGTCTTTGAGTTTTGGTTGTATAGCCTCTTATTTTTTAACCAATTACTTAGTTTCCATTTACTAAAGTTCTAAATTAAAAATATTACCTTTCAGAACCAAATAGGCTAAAACAGATTTAATCAGCCCAAATAAAGAACTCTGGGTGCTAGGTAGGAGTTACTAAGTCTTTTGCACAGTCCTAAGTCCTTGATGGTAACTTCCCAAGGTAGATATAAATTTACTTAGTGGGTTTTCTCTTCTTTTTCGGAGGGGTTGAGAAGGTGGGATAGAATTTTATTCATATTAGACTGACATGATTGGGCAACAGACAGACACTATTTAGTCTAGGCCTGGAGGAGGTGGGGTGGAGGGGGGTATGAATGCATGCCCCAAAAACATGAGAGGAAGAAAAGCTAAGAGTTGTTACTTTCAAGGTGTAATGTTATCTTTAAAAAGAAGGGAAAAAACCTAGTATTTATTTTGTTTGAGGGGAAAACTACAGATTTATAACTTCCTGTTCTATATTGTATTGAAGTCTTCAATACTTATGCACACTTACTTTTTGTTCATCCTCTGATCTAGAACTAATTTTTAGGTAGGCTTCTCACGGATTCCATTTAAGAAATTAACTTGTTCTTTGGGGGGGAGAGGTATCCCACCAACTCTTTTAGAAGTACTATGAAGCCATCAAAAAATAAACCTTTTAATAGCACTTTTTCCTGAGGTTTATTTTAAATTTCATAATCAATTCATTTAAAAGAAAAGGATTATAAAGACTTATCAGAAATGACAGCAAGAGTACCAAGTGGAAAAATTGATAAATTATCTCCTTGCCTAATGTAATTCTGACAAAAAATGTAATTGTGCAAAAATCCCCCTTTTGGTTTAAATACATCAGTATTTTCCTAATGCACATACAGAAACGTGTATCTACTGAGAGATTCTTATCTATTCACAAAAGAAAACTAAAACAGTTTTAAAGTCTGAAAAACCCAATTCACAACACATTAAGTGGAAAAGATGCCGGAAGTTTGGCATCCCATTTCAGGATATAACTGAAATAGGGAAATCCCACTCAAAGGTGTGAAAACTGAATGAACTAAAGAATATTGGTAATAAAATTGAAAGAATTACTTGCACATTTAGTAAGATCAGGTGATGTCTACATAGTTATTTGTAGATTAGGTTTAAGATGTATTTACTAAAAAGATACAGTTTATTAGTAATTGGCACATCAGTGTATACAAATGACTCCTGATACTTTTTTAAGGTCTATTTAGTGAGTTAAGGCTTCTTTTCCTTGCATGTTGATCATACTATTAATCCTCTTAGCTATCTTTTCTTTCACGATGAAAATAAACTTTGTTCCAAAACTCCAAAATCAGTTCAATGAAAAATCATCAGATGTAGAGATTTAAAGTAAGCAGCTTAAATAAATATAAAATGCTCTTTCTTCCAAAGTAGATGAGAAATAGTATGTTCTGGCAGAGGAGAAAAGGAATTAGGCAAACAATATGGCAAGAGGAGCTGATTTAAATTTGTAGCATTTAAAGAAACCTGAAATTACTTACAGCTCAACCTCCCTTCACTCAAGCCAAACCCTGCCCCCTCCCCACCCTACCACCACCATCTGACATTCACAGAAAGAAACTAACAAAAGATCTTCAAAAACCCATCTGGCCTGATACAACTATTATCTCAAAAGACAATCACACTCGCTTACCTCAGCCTTCGTTTCCTGGAACGAGAGACTGATCGACTTCGGGATCGAGACTTCGAAAATGACCGAGAACGAGATCTTGATGCAGATCTTGAGCGAGAAGAACGAGATCCAGACTTGGATTTGTTTGTTTTTGACATCTTTGAAGGAGGATCAGTCACTTTTCAATGCACCTAATGTAACAAAAGAGATTCAAATAAATTTTGTGCCTTTGCAAACCTGAACTTCTCTTAGAAACAGGTTTGGTTTTTTGTTGTTTTTTTTTAATGCAGATGAAATAACTGGTGTGTGCCCCCCCCCCTCCACTTTCCTTAAGAATCTGTGGTTTAAGCAGTACAATCCAAACAGACCCAAGCTACAACAGCAGATGGAAAACCTGACATATGATGCAAACTGGGTAAAGCTATAAAATACTGGCAAAAACAAGGAGTGCTAACAATATTTGGTGCAGTCTTTTCGCAGTAAGCAAACAAGCTTTGCCAACTAAGATAGCTAACCTGAAATGAATGACCTGAGACAGGATTCCCAGTTCTAACAGAAGAAACCATATGCAATGATATCTTGGTTATGGCCTATCTTGGAAATGGTACACATCTGACCATTTCTCTAACCCCCAGACCTTGAAATCATGAAGCATAGCCTTAATATTTATCTCCAAGGAAAAGGTTTTAAAAGTTCAAATATTTTAATACCACAACATATAAGTACTGTATCTTATAAAAATACAGGATATTAATCCATATACATGGGACTAAAGTAATTTATAAAGTGAAGATCCATTACTTTCTTCTAGCTAGTTAGTATCACCTTTTTTTATGGTCGTTTTCTCTCATTAAAACACACACACACACACACACACACACACACACACACACCAAAATTATCTTTTTCCTTCTCTTTCTCCTCTACAGGAATGAATAGAGAACTTCAAAGTTGCTACTGGGTTTGGTCAGTAAAGTGCACTGTCAAGCTAACTCACTTATTCTCTTTATATCCTACTAGAACTTTGGGCATCTTCCAAGTAGCAAAACATTGCAGTGCTAAAGCATGTGTCTACCAAAGACCAGGAAGAATAAGGGATCTGTCAAAGATCACAAAGCTAGTAAAGAGCCAAACCAGGCCAAAATGCCAGGGCTTTTCCCACCACACCTTGCCACCTCAATGCTTAGCAAAAGCTTCTAAGTGATGCTACTCCCAGCTTCTAAGGGAAAAATAATAATAAATATTTCACCCTCCCCTACTCACATATTTTGTTATTCAGATCTCAGCTCAAAAGCTATCTGCTCAGAGGTTTTGCCCTGGCCACCCAATCAAAAGTTGCCACCAGTCATTCTATAGGATCTAATCCCATATTCCTTGGGGATTTTTTCCTTCTGAGAACTCAATTCAGTACTTGAAAAATATCTTGCTTACTTTTTTGTTTTCTATCTTTACCCAACAAGAAGGTAAGCTTTCCACCAGCAGAAATCTCATCTTTCTTATATACTTCATGCCCAGAAGAGACCAGCTTTGAAATTTCTTTAAGCAGACAAAACCAGTTCAGTCAAACAAATAAAGCTTAATATAGTATTTTGCAAGTCTATCTTGACAGGTGCATTTCTTGCTTATGCCTCTGGAAAATCACAAACAAAAACGAACTGTTTCCCAAGGTTAATAGGAAGTATCACTGAACATTCTATTATAGCCAAACACTGCAAATCACAGTCACTGCTTTCTCACTATATAATAAGCTGTTTTATGATAACATAGACCTGAGCCTCCCTCCATGTTTTGGTTTGAATTCTCCCAGCTTATGAACTGTGTTTTTGGTGTGTGTACAAGAAACTTTTACTAATAACTGCTTTGGTAATTCACTGGTTTTATTTCTGCTATTTATGAACTTCTAGAGGCCCAATGCACAAAATTCACGCAAGCATAGACCCTTACAGCCTTGGCTTTGTCCGGAAGGTCGTTCTGCCATTCGGTCTAATTAGTATATTAGCTCTTTAATATATTTGTGAACAAATTAGAGGATATTTTCCCCATTGATTTTATTATTTTTTTTAAAATATATTTTATTGATTTTTCACAGAGAGGAATAGTTAGAAACATCGATGAGAGAGAATCATCGATCAGCTGCCTCTTGCACACCCCCTACTGGAGATGTGCCCGCAACCAAAGTACATGCCCTTGCCCGGAATCAAACCCGGGACCTTTCAGTCCGCAAGCCGACGCTCTATCCACTGAGCCAAACCAGTCCCGGCTGATTTTATTATTTATTTATGTATTTATTTATTATATTGTTATTGATTTCAGAGAGGAGGAAAGAGGGAGAGATAGAAACATCAATGATGAAAGTCATGGATAGGCTGTCTCCTGCACGCCCTCACTGGGGATCAAGCCTGTAATCCAGGCATGTGCCCTTCACCAGAATTGAACCCAGGATTCTTCAGTCAACAGACTGATGCTCTATCCACTAAGCCAAACCAGCTAGGGCCCATTGATTTTTAGAGAGTAGAAGGGAAGGAGAGAAGAGAAGGGAGGGAGGGAGAGTGAGAGAGAAAAACATCAGTGTGAGAGAGACACATTGTCTAGTTGCATCCCTGCAAACCAGGTGCCCTTGACAGGGAATTGAACTTGAGAATATTTTGGTTCATGGGCCGGCGCTCTAACCATTGAGTAATACCAGCCAGGGCACAAAGAGGACATTATAATGTCCCATTTTACAGATTTAAATCCAGCCAACCAGGCTTCAAACCAGTATTGGTTTTTTGTTTTTGTTTTAAAGCCAGTGTTTTCAACCATTATTATTCCATCTCTGTAGAGCAATGTCTGGCACACAGAAGTCATTCATAGATCTAAGTCTTTTCTCCGCTCTTACCAAGTTTAGGATCTGGTAAAGGGGCAAGAGTTAGGCAAACTGAAAGATCATATTTGGTTCTAATTACTACATTCATAATTTTAGTAACTTCTGGAAAGGCAAAAGTCCAGGAAGCTACTATAACTCAAGTTCATAGGAAATAATCATAATCTCACAGTCATAATTTAGAGGTCTGAGAAAGTGCCAAAAAGCCAGAGACAAAGGGTGATGAGTAAGAGATTGCATAAAGAGGACACCAAAGACCTACAGTCTAGATCCTGCCAAAGGATCAAACTGTTATGTACTCTACCAAGGTCAAAGATACTTCAATTTGGAACTGACTTTTGGCAACAGTATCGTTATACAAAGCCAGGATAGAGGAATAAGTTACTTGGGGATAGAAAGTAGAGATGCACACGAACAATTTATAGAAACTGAATACTGAAAATACATTTTGTTTTGCTAGTTGGCCTTCAGCATATTTTGGGATTTTCTCTCTGGGTTCACTCTTACTGAATGGCTTTCTTCTGTTACAAGTTTAGGGATAGTCTTGCCTAGCAACATCTCTGCCCAACCTTCAATTTTAGCTTGGGCCAGAAATAAAAATCCTTTTAGATCATTTACACAACAGGTGGACAATATCAGACTTTAGAAGAAAAAAAACAGGCAACAGTTAGTGAAAAAGAAACACTCATTACAACCACCAGAAATTAGAAAATTAAGAAGCTCATTCTCATTCAGAGAAAAGGTTGTCAATTAAAAACATACAGACCCAAAGTTAACACATCTACATATATTAAACTTAATAGAATTGACAAGTATACTGAAGAGTGGCAATACTGTGATACCATCCCCAATCCTACTCCTGGAATTTCTTTAATGTGAATTGAAACTAACAGTAAAAACATCACTATACCTTGAGTATTACGTGGAATAACTTTGGATGAAACAACTCTCAATTCTATTTTGAAGACCTACAAACTTCATATACATACAGCTTTTCCTATTTCTAACATTTCTTCATTGTTGGTGCTCTAAAAATATAATGGAAGTGAGATAAACAAATACTACCTTGGAAATCAATTTAGTACCTCTTATGTTACAAGTACGTGTTATTTAGTTTCCGTTCGAACTATCATTTCCCCTAAAAGTTTTGCTTCTTCAACAATGATGTTTGCTTCTCCCTGGCTGACCATGCTGTTTCATTTAGAATATTATGAAAAAGCGCAGTCCCTACAGAACTATGGCATAATATGACAGCTCATGGCTATATGTGCCTGGGGTAAAAACATGTCTCCTCAAACACTATTTTGGACAAAAAGATTCTCACACTTAAGATAAGATAGCTATGTTCCTACATCAGGATTATGAAAGAATCCACCAAGTAACCAATACTGTCTATTTGATAGGAATGATCAATAAATAATATCTATTGATAATAATAATCAATACTTACTATTTATTATGTAAGGATGCAGAAATATAATAAGAACTAGTTCCTGAACTCACCATTAAGGGCCTGTTATTATCCAAATATCCTCAACTTTCCAACATTCTTCAGATGTCATGGTTTCATCTCTCACATTATTACCCTCTTTGCCATGGAATCAATTTCTGTTTGTTCTCTTTCATTAGGATACACTTAATGTGATTCTCAAAATGTGACCTAATATAGTACTACTAGAGGCCCAATGCATGAAAATTCATGTAGGAGTGTGTGTGTGGGGTATCCCTCAGCCTGGCCTGCCCCCTCTCACAGTCTGGGAGCCCTCAGGGGTGGAAGGCCACCCAGCGATCAGAGGAAGGCAACACCCCCATCACACCTCTGCTGCTGCCACTGCCAACAGAGCAAAGCCTCAGCTGGCCGCCCTGGGCAGCTGGGGGGCTGAAGGCAGGTCCGGCTGGACAGTGCACCTCCCCTCCCCCCACTCCCCTCCACACACACACCAGTGGGGCTGAAAGGACTGGGGGACTCTGGTGGGGCTGAGGGAACTGTGAACCACCATCTTGTAGCTATGGGTGCTGCCATCTTTGTGACAGAGTGATGGCCAATTTGCATATGCCCTCTTAATTAAATACCGTAAACTTTAGATTTTTCTTTCTGGCAGGCACACTACATGTTGACTCAAAGTGAGCTCTGAGTCACTAAACCCTGAAGTCTTTTTTCATAAACCCTTCTTCAGTTGCAAGATGTCCTTCTCCTCCATCTTATATTTATACAACTGTTGTTTTATCCCTCACCTTTTTTATTTAAAATCCAAGTGTAGCCTACTGAAATCATTTCAGATACAATTTAGTCACTTGGAGCAAGGGCTCGTTTTCAAACTATTCTGC